GAAAGAACTAATTAAGTGTCCTTGAAAGGATTGTATACTGTTTCAGAGGGCTGTCTATGAATACTCTTAGTGCAGATTGTCTGTAATAGGCTGTTACATGGGATTTATTCTGATGCCAGTCCATCCCTTTTGTCCATTGTCAGAAAGAACTTGACATTAAGTGGGTTTCAAATGGAACCTTTGCTTGTTCTTTGCCCCTCTGTCTGCTCTGTTTTGTGTAGTATGGCAAGTTATCATGGGATATCTGTAGTAACCGCAGGGACCAGTTCCATTTTGTGGCTACAACAGAAGTTTGTGAACTTGTCGGACCTTTGGCGTTGGAGGCAAACTTTTTATGGCCATCGACATTTGCCTGGAACTCTGGGTTGCAGCATCTGCACAACCTCCCTTTTAAAAATAGAACACTTGCTTTTAAGTAAACTTAGGTTTTTATCAAGGTCTTTGTATTTGAATCATCTGCTTCTCTTTTCTACATTAAACTTCATTATGGGCTTTTCCTCCCCCTCAGAGAAGATGCTTTTGTGGTTGAAGTACAGTACTGGATTTCAGGGAATCAAGAGTTCAATTTCTGGTTCAACCACAAATTTCCTGTGTTCTTGCTTACTATCTCTGTTTTGGTTCCCCGTAGATGTAGCGATGGTGTTTTATAAATTTGCAGGTTAACAGGGCTCATCTTGATTATACTCTGCATAACGGAAATGAAAATAAAAACCTGCTTGCAGAAATTACAGGGTTTATTTCTGCTGTAACATCTTGGAAGATTTAACCAGCCTTTTGTTCAAGAATCTATTTCCCCTGGTGAAACATTCTTACCATTAATTCAGTGATAATGTTTTCTTTTCCTTTAGTTTTACCGATTAGTTTGCTCTTTATTCCCAAAAGTAAAAGACGTGGTTAAGTAAAATTCATAGACTAGTCAAGGCATTTTTAAATAGTTTTCCTTGGCTAAATTGAAGAGGTCCCTTAGTCAATCAGCCTGAGTGTTCAACATAGCTCATTCTTTGGGTTAAAGAGGCACTAAATGGTTGGATTCACTGTGTGTGTGCATGCATCAACTGTACTGTGCATGCAATATAGACCGTATTTTCAGAACACCCTTATTGTAAGGGTCTATTCCTCTTTGCTTCCAGAGTCAGCTGGCCAGGACTAGGTTGCTGTGGTTTAATGCAGTGGCATTTTCTTTTCTAGGAATAGTTTGGAAAATGCCATTTGAACTGGGCTTGAGGTGGTCACTTGTTGCCCTAAGGTTTTACTGCACGCATGTGTAGCATAGCATGTGTGTCTTCAGCCAAACCCAGTTAATATGGTACAAGCTTTTGCAAAAGAGTTTTCAAGGAAGCTTGCTGGTAGAAGCAGGCTGCTAACTACGAACTGAATACCCTTTCCATGATGAGTTCTTTACGCCTTTTATATTCATTTTGGACTTTTGTTCTGAACCCTTTCCACTGTTCAGTTTCTGCAGTCATGAATATATGCATGTTATGTTGATATAAAAGCACAGTTACTTATGCCTCTTATATTTTGCTTAATAATTTGCATAAGCATATATATCCAAATAGTACACTTATATTTCAATAAGAAAGTTCCACTGAGAGCTCATGTTCAGCTGAAGGCAACACCCTCCCATGTCTGCTAATGGAAATTTAAGCTGAGCACTCCTCAGTCCTCTTTAGTTATATCTTAATTTGAAATACAGAAGAAACGACACGTGTTTTAATCTTACTGACTTTGCTTTAAGCAGGTTAAGCACTACTTCACAGCTCTGCCAAGAAGAGGAATCATAAGGACAATGTTTTGTGACACGACATAGTGGCAAGGTCTGCAACTAGCATGTTTGGATTTTTTTTTTAAATGATTTTTCTGAGTTTTTACTTGAATGCAATTAGTGGTCTGCAACTTACTGAAGCTTTGTCTTGTGTTAAAATGGAAGTTGTTCAACTAAGTATGTATCTAGGCAATTCATGTTGTTTTTCATGACTGATCTCTCACTGTCATTATTTATTGTTTCACTATGTTTCTATCATCACAAAAATTGTCTGCAATTATTTTTCTTTCAAATCATGTAACTGCTTATAAACCTACAGAACAACGTAAGGTTGCAAACAGAGTGATCCCTTTGATGCTTAGCTAGAAATATCTGTGGAATTTAAAAATTTACTGTGTGGAGGCTCTTCTGATTTTCCTCATCTGCCCTTTGAAATTCTCATTTATCAGAATCTTAAGCAAGACATAAGACAGATGTCTTACAAAAGTCCTCTGTCTCACCACAATTATTTTGTCAGCCTAAACAATGACCCCGTTTAAAGACAGTGCAGAGGCTGGGAACAGCCTATTTTCTCTGGAAGTAACTAGAGTGATGCTAATTATATACCTGTCTGTTATTTTCTTATATGTTAATGACCACAGAGACCTGACTGGCCGATTTTTTCTCAGTATTCCTGGATAGCTAGTTATAACTTTATCTCTTAGTTTCATTTTCTTAAATAGCACTCCTTTTTCAACTGTCACAATATTCTGACATCTAGTAATAGAATCATAGAATTATTTCAGTTGGAAAAGACCTTTAACATCATCTAGTCCAACCATTAACTTAGCAATGTCAGATCCACCACTAAACCCTTAACACTACATCTTCTAAATACCTCCAGGGATGGTGACTCAACTGCTTCCTTGGGAAGCCTGTTCCAGTGTTTGACAATGTTTTTGGTAAAGAAATTTTTTTTTCTGATATCAAATCTAAACCTCCCCTGGCACAACTTGAAGTCGTTTCCTCTTGTCCTATCACTTGTTCTGTGGGACAAGAGACTGATCTCCACCTCACTACAACCTCCTTTCAGGTAGTTGTGGAAAGCAAGAAGGTCTCTCCTCAGCCTCCTTTTCTCCAGCTAAACAACCCCAGTTCCCTCAGCTGCTCCTCCTAAGATTTGATCTCCAGGGCCTTCAGCAGCCTTGTTACTCTTCTTTGGACTGGCTCCAGCACCTCAGTGTCTTTCCTGTAGGGAGGGACCCAAAACTGAACATGGTACTTGATATGCAGCCTCATCAGTGCCAAGTACAGGGGGACAATCACTTGCCTGGTTGTGCTGGACATACTGTGTTTGATGCAACGATGCTGGTTACCTTACTGGCTCATATTTAGCCAGCTGTCTACCAACACCCCTAGGTCCTTTTCCTCTGGGCAGCTTTCCAACCATTCTTCCCCAATCCTGTAGCACTATCTGGAGTTGTGACCCAACTGTAGGACCCAGCACTCGACCTTGTTGAACCTCACTTGGCCTATTGGTCCAGCTTGTCCAGGTCCCTCTGCAGAGCCTTCCTAACTCAGGCAGACCAACTATCCTGCCCAGCGTCATATCATCTGCAGACTTACTGAGGGTGCCCTCAATCACCTCATCCAGATCATTAATAAAGATACTAAACAAAACTGGCCCCAATCCTAAGCCTTGCGGAACACCACTTGTCACCAGCCACCAACTGGATAATTGTTTTCCTCTGGATTTAGGAAGAGAATTATTTGTCTGTGCGGGATATTGAGTGGCTGCTAGAGGGGGGGGAATAAAGGGAAGAAAAACCTTCCATCACAAAGGAAGATGAAAAAGCTTATAATAACCCTCAATTTCTCATAGTCTTAAGAAGTAGAAGTGGGAGAGGCTTACGGACATTGCTACTCTGTTGTTGCTTCTTCTTCCTCCTTCCCAACAGAATCAATTTGATCTCTACTGCTCTGATGGGTGTCTCCATCAAGATTCACTATACAGTATTCAGACAGACCTCTAAAAGTTTTCTTTCTTGAAAAGATTAAGTATACTTACATGGTAAAGAAAATAAATTCCAGTAGGGGATTGACCTTTTGATTTTAGCCTTAACTGTGATGATTTTTGATCTTTTTTCTGTTCCATACTACTAAAAGTGTTAACAAAGAAGTAAAACTTTGATCTTGTTTGAGAAGACAGTGCAAAAAGCATATGATCATGTTTGGGATATTTAGGTAGCCTTGCTGCTGCAAAGAAGAAACAAATTCCTAGTGCAGACTTTTAAGATGAAAGAACTGGTAAAACCTTAAAAAGATATTCTTAAGCCAAGCACTCAGGATTCACCTGAAAAACTTAAGCATGCATGCTTAAAGTTTTCTTGTTTAATTCTTGGTTATTTTTAAATTCTCTGAATGTTATTTTTCTTCTACACCTTCCTGCCCTCCCCTGCCCTCCATTCTTATCTTCCTCTCCCTTAGTCTTTCCCATTCTTTAGTTTTCACCCCTTGTAGTTCCCCCTGCCCCAAGTTCCCTCTCCCCACTTCTCTGTGCCCCGCTTTGCATTAATCCAGGTTGTTGAAATCTGTTGAGAAGCTACATTTATTAGATAAGTTTATTAAAAACTCATCCCCTTTCAAGTTAATATCATGAGCTGAACTGCAGAATCTGCAACTTCACAGAGTTGAGAGCCCGGTAATTTGTTACTCATACATGGGAATTTTTACTATTGTGTTTAGGAAACCGCAAAAAATTTTGTTTGAATAAGTTGTCCCCTCTGTAGGCATATAGGCACTTTAGATATGAATATAGATATATATTGAACCATATGTATATACACAGTGCATCTGTATATCTACACTCACATAGAGGCACATGCACTGTTGTACATATATGTCTTTTAAGTAGCGCTGGATCATATGCTGCCAGGAAACTTTACATTGTCTCTGCACTTTTAGATAAGGCTGTAAATTACCAGTGGTACCAGCTGTGTGTAAATTTAAAGATAAACAGTAATAGCAAGCTGCCACATAAATAAATAGTTGAAAGTGAAAGGAGGAAGGTAGATTGAGCAAGCAGCTCATGAGAAAGTACTAATTTCCAAAATGCAGCAGATAAAGAAGAAAACTAAATGGAGACCGAATCTTAGACATTCACTCTGTACATTAAGTTTAATGGTTCTATCAACGGCTTCATATGACAGGAAATGATCTGGGCGTTTTGTTCACTTATTCTGGATGCCCTTAGTTTCAGAGAGCAACTGGTAACATGGATTGCACCTCGGAAGGGGACAGCTGAACTCTCCCTCTGGCTTTAGTGAGGCAAGAGCAGCGATGAAATCCGTGGACTGTGTGCACGTCACCCAACCGAAGGATACCGTCTCCTCTCCCTCTGCCCCCCCCGGTGCTGCTTCAGGCACCACGGGACTTTTTTCTGCCCCATTCCTGTGGCTTGCAATGCTCCTGTCCTCTTGTCTTGCAGCAGTGTCTCTTTACCATGTTATCATCCTGAAAACAGAACTAGAAGCTCTGCGCAGCGAGCTGATCTACAGGGTCCAGGCAAGGTCTCCGCTAGACCGGCCTCCCACGTACCCTGATGAAAATAAAGCGGGTACCCCTGTTCCTTCCTTCCTGCAAGTCTCTGCAGCTGGCGCCAGGCAGGTAAGCTGGAGGGGTGCTTTTCGGCTTGCGGGGGTGAGCAAATGCGAGGCTGCTCTCAGTGACCGTCGCTTCTGTCCCTCAGGAGAACAGGCTTCCTGGTCCTGGCCCAGCTGAAAGCTTCCTAAAGGAAATCTGGAACGGGAGCAGAAACAGGGGGAGAAGGTCTGTTGTCCCCAGTGAAGAAACAGGTAAATAGCAGCCGGTGGAGAGGGTTGGGATGTCACAGTTGGATACTGTCTTGAGAAAAGCAGGAGTGCTGGAGTCATGTCTTCTCCTGGCAGCCGATCTGTGCTGCCAGAGCCTGTTACAGTTTTCACAATTATTGCTGAATGAATGATGTTAACTGCAGGTATATTCTCCTAAACCATACTCTTTAAGGTACCAGATATTCATGCTGTTGCAGATGGAACTTAGAATGTTAGATCCCAAATCTGCTTTTTCTAATGGAGATATTTCTGGATGATGCAGTAAAGTTGCTTAAGGCAAGTTCAAATTCTTCAGATTGTAAATTGCTCAATTCTAAATCCATCATTCTTAGTTCAGGGTAATGCCTAACTCATTTCTCTCTGATCACTAGTAGGGAGGGAAAGCTATTATTAAAAATGTCAAGTCATTTTTCTGGGAAAACATGCTCATCCTAAAAGAGAGAAGTAACGAAAAGCTTCTTAACTTTAGGGAAGTAGGAGCTTTCAAAGAGAAAGTCTGGCTTGTACCTGTCAAAAGAAGCAGACTACAAGGAATTCAGAAGTTTAGCATCATTTCTACATTAAAACTATCTATTAATATAATTAAGACAATTAATCAAGGCATGCCTATCCAGTAAGATTTTTTCAATCATGGCCTTTTTAAAAGCTGCTGCAGAGAACATTGAAGACTGTGCTCCATAAAAGACCTCTGTTGTATAGCATAATGTTGGAATATTAATGGCATATATTTGTTTCCTTTGGGGATAAAATGCCTACATATTTTTCTTTTTCTCTTTCCGAACACAGTGATGCCTGATAGGATGAAATACAGGATTTTATTATAACAGTTTGCATTCATACTCTAACTGCAACGAGTACCTAAAAATGTTCCTGTGTTGCTAAATCAGTTCCATCCTCTTAGATACTTTTAGATTGTTTTAACTGATGAAAGCTTGTATCTTAAGTTATTAATAAAGGAAGCTGAAATTTGTAGGTAAAAACTAAAAAGTGCTTTTGAGTGACTAATTAATATGTAATGTTTCATTCACGCTTCAGTAAGCTAAATGGGACTGAAGTTCTAGAGTATAATCACTGTACATACCTCCAATATTCTCAAAAGAGAATACTCATGTAGGGCATCACCCAAAATCCATAGATTTAAATGAGATTTAATCTGTTTGTGCTATGTCACTACTCATCTTTGGTTCAGGCGCTTGGCTAAGAGTGATTTCACAAACAGGACTGAGGACAAAATTGTCTAAATTTTATTTCTTGTAGCTTGTTTCCTATCATGGGAACCACAGAGCTAGCTTGCTCTCCCCACTCTAGCATCAATCAAACCAAAACAAGTAATCTAAAGCACAAATACAAAAAATAAGGAGGCATGTCTTGTCTTAAAATGCATCTTACAGCACCAGTACTCTGCAAGTTACCCAGTTCCCTTCATGGTAGCGTTCACCTTTATTCTTCTTGCTATTTGAGAGTGTATGGACAGGAGGAGGATTTGAGGCTTCTCAGATGTGCTTCTGGCGCTTCTGGCAGACATAAAACTCTTCTCCTCAGGTGTCCACTTCTGATCACACCTATTTATCTTTCTTCACATAAATTCTAATTAAGCTACTTATTTCTGCAAGCTTTTCTTTTTTAAGATACATCTGGCTTTAAAATTGTTTAGGATGGATAATAGAAACAACAGAGTATACACAATCATTTAACAGAGAAAAGGTACACAGGTTCACCTACTACAATTTTTTTAACATGATCATTGTATTCTTGTATGTAACAAAAAGAAAAAAAAGTAAATTACAAATCTTCCATTTATATACAAGGCCATCTGTTAGACAGAGTTACCTTTCTGTCTACTCTAATTACAACAAATTAAATTTGTCAGAGTTCAGTAAGATTTTCTCCTAAACAGAGTTCAGTTACATCTTCTCAGATAAGATTTCACTGACGGACATGAACCTATTAGTCAATGTTAAATTTTGTTTTAGCAGAGTGAAATAAGAGAACACACTATTGTTCATGGTGCTGAATCCTGTCTGTTAAGTGATCACACATGCAGAATTATTAACTCAAAATTTTGATCTTCTCAAGTCCATTTCTGGGTACCGTAATCTCAGCAGCCTCAAAACTGTCCTGCAGATGTGCTGCACTCATTCTAGTACAACGGCAAAGAAATTAGGGTATTGAGTGAGGTGCCTTGTTCTTGTCCTATTTCTGTTTGCTTCAGCAAGGTCTCAAAGTAGAATGTGGTCTCATTATTCATCATTGACCCATAAACTCACTTTAATACGGATCAATTCTTTAGAAAACAAATACTTTAAAGTATCACTGATACACAGTTGCTTCTCTTGTGTTTCACCAGAGAGCAGAAATAAATTATAGAACCATTACTGTATTTATAAATAAAATTGTGGTTTGATTCTGTTTCCTTTTAAACTTTAATTATTAAGTTCCATGGATGCCCCATGACTCTTTTTAGGCTCAGCACAGGCCTTCTTGACCATGGAATTTCTTTTTTTTTTTCTATTTGCTTGATGATGTGTGCATAAAAGAAGTCACAATTTAGAATTTGAATTAAAAGAATTGAATGAAAATCAATCTAACACAATGCTGTTCTTTCATATTTATATGGCATATGCATTTGTTCATGTTCACGCATAAAGCTATTAGTCATCAGTAGCTGTGTCTTGAGAAAATTTCCAGCTCAAGTAGGTTGAAGAAATGGGTTTCAAGCATCTATTCCAAATAAAACTGTACAGTCAGCAGTCAGAACCAGAGTTCTTGATACAATGAGTAGGAGTTAATGGGTGATTTTGGAAGGTACATATTATCAATATGCAGGCAGATAGATCATCTAACTACTTCTGGCAACCATCATATCAGGACACTTAAGAACAGATATACTTTTTCTAATTTGTCTTCCTTTTAAAAATTTAGTCTGTATAAGAAAATAAATGCACGACAAAAAAATCTCCTAAATTTTATACCCTGTTCACAATTACTGATGGCCTAGGTTGCATATTTCTCTATAAGCTGTACGAAGGTATTGGCTCCATTACCTAAGCCAATTCAATGTACGAATATCAAGTTTCATTCACGTGCTCTCTCTGTGCATCATTCTGATCATTTTTGTAGGGTTCTGATTCCTGTAGCCAACTAGGGGCAGCAAGTCTTCTGTAAACTCAAATTCAGGCAACATTCTGCTATGATGAGATTGGAGCACCCATGGACTATATTGACTTTGGTGCACTGAGATTATCTATCTCAACCAGTCTAATTGCATGGATGGAAAGAATTGAGGAGAAATTCTAAGTAACTTCACAAAACAGTGAGGTGGGCTCACCTAGCATGTGATTTGGCAGGTTTTAAAATTTTTTTAACTAGCGGTTCCCAGGTTCTGCTCCAATATCACTTGTGCCCATGGGAAATAACTATTGCCACTGTGAGTAAGTTGTGAGAGTTTTGCCATTGTTCTAACTATACTTGACTTACTGGGAAACTGATTACATTTACTTTGGCAAATTGGTACATTTTTTGGTTAGAAGTGTTTTGACTCTGCATGTTGTTGGTTTAGATCTCTATAACAGAGGGATAGCAAGTTATAAGTGAAACTTTAGTGATCATTGAATCAAGAAACCTAACGTTTTATTAGTCTAAACAAAGACCACATAAAATTCCCTCACTAAGTATTCAAAATACTTCTTATTTTGTTGTTTGAAGAGGGGAAATAAAAGAGTTCTCCTAATAAAAAAGAGAAAGGCCTACTTCTTGAAAAGATATGTTATTCTTTTTTGTTTATGCTGACAATAGTCTAACTCAAAAGGAAGTAGACCCTCCTATGTGAAAGGATAGAAAATGACTTGATACAATGCCTGCAATTTTACATGAAGAATTCCACTTACTGAATGAATGAATCAGTGCAGAGCACTGTACAATCAAAAACACAAAAAAGAGGCTCTAATTGTTAAAACCAATATTCTTCTTTTTATTCTACTTTACATTGTATAAGTCCACATAGCATATTGTAAATTCTTAGTAAATAATTTCCATGCTATTCTGATTGTAGCATGTTACTGGTAATTCCATTAAGGTCAAAATAGTGCTACTAATACTTTGAAGATATATGTTATATCTGAATCATAGCTGTTACTATGACCAAGCCATTTTAATGCGAGGAATGATTTAATCCATGATTAAGGCCACATAAAGACCTCTTAAAAATGAGCAAATTAATCAGTCTATAAAAATGCACAAGCAAAAAGTAAAAGAAGATCTCCTGTGATGAGAAATGAAGAAGTTCAGGGAAGAAGAACTTGAAATTTTTCAACAACATGCACCTCTTTTATAAATGGAATTAACTAGTGTTTAAGTATATTTTAGGAAGTCTACAGAGAACAGATCTAGACCAAAGAAGGAACGTAAATAATCAGATCTGTTGTTTAAAGTTCGGTGTTTTCTCTTGTTTTTATTTCAGCAGAAATTGAAATAGATGTCTCAGACCTCAGATATCAAAACTTTGAAATGTAAGCATGAGTTCACATGCATAATTTTGTATGGATGGATTATGAAGTTAGATTGCAAAATATTAAAATTATTATGCAGGTTAAATAATATGAAAACTTGCATGTGAGGGCTTTTATCAATATCAGGTCTAAAATGATGCAGATATTCAGGAGATTGCATTCCTATCCTGCTGCAAAAGACAGCTTTTAATAAAAAAATGTGGTTATATTGCTCAACTGGTGGAGAACGCATCCCTTCAAGTGTTGGCTGTGGTTTATGAAGGCATCTGGAGTTGCTAACTTCTTCAGAATTGGCTCATGGAAGAATACAAACTCTGAAATGTTCTTCTCCCCACCCACACTCCACAGAGCAGTTAAAATCAGAAGAAAAAAAAATCCTCATCAAAGCAAAGCTATTATATGAGGATGGGGCACACTTATTTTTTTTCTAGATACACTTATTTGTACAGCTAGACCTCATGGTGACAGTCAGTCTGGATATTTTAATACATTTTTTAAGACGCATTTTATGAATCCTGTGTTCTGCTTCCATTATCAATTATTCAAAAATCCTTTAGACTACAAAGTTGATGTTCAGGTTTGATTTACACTGGGCTGAAGGGCTTTCAGGTAGAGCCTTTGATTTGTTCTGCTCAGTACTGATAGTAACTATTCAAACCACATACTGTAGTGCTTATATTCTTGATATTTTACTTCAGGTAAGGTAGAGGTCCTTCTTGGGATAGAATTGCTAACATTTCTTAATAATGTTAACTTTCTACTGAAAATCCCTGTTAATTTTCCAGAAAATATACTCTGTGTATCCGTATCTTCTCCTTAATAGTAGTGTTGTTTATTCTGAATTTGTTCAATGAATTACTTAATTTTTAAGCATGTATTTCGTTCCACTGAGGTCAACGTGAAGTACTTGTATATACTGGAAATAGTTATGTGTCAGTGTTGGCTCTTGAACATTTTTTTGAATTATGTTGTTGTTCTATCCCACAAATGCTTTTTTAGATATTATTTGTCCTTTGTGGCTTTAGGTAAAGCAGCCACTGTGTTAGTTTCTGTTCTCTTCATTGTCATGAATGACACTGTTGTATCCATATTTCTCCATGAAAAACAAGCTTACCATATTATGTGGAGCCTTATTTCTATCTTAATACACCAAAAAAAGGGAGAGTGAGATTTTTTTAGAGAATATATGTAGATTTGATGTCTATAGAATAAAGTGGAGGAGGTATATGTTTTTAAAAGTTGGAAAAGATCTTGGACTGAACCTTCTGATTTTAATTACTGTGTAGCAGTTCTCAACAAGGATGACTGGTATTTCAGTGCTGCAAACAACTCGAACCTAAATCCAGACTTGTAAACTGTGAATCACGATAGTTTCAAGTTAATAGTTAATAAAGTTTGCAGAGCAAGTTTAACAGGAGTTGCTAAAGTACCCATAACTTTCACTGCTTGTGGATGCTACTTGTTGGTACCCAACTGGATAGTAGCGGGTTAGTGTGAATCATAACTAATCCTCTCTTCTTTGTTTAGTGGAAAATCCAGTGGCCACAGTAGTGAGTTCTTTCAAAAGCAGGAATAAAAGTTTTGATTTAGCTTACTAAAGTGAAGTAATACCTCATGAAGTGAAGTAATACCTCATGAACTAAATTGCATGATGTACTTTGTTGTGCGACTCCAGAAATACACATATTGATTTTATTTGAAAGCTCCTTTTTCAGAAAATTCTGTCACTCACAAGTGTGATAGTAAACTGACTGAAGTATAATACCTTTTTCAATTTTGTGTTGGCTTGTTTTTTCTATTCCTTATCGTAAGGCAGGAAATTCAGACGCCTTTAAATTCCTGGTTTGAAAATCTATAGATTTTTGGCATGTTATTGACGAGTATTGACAGAACTCAGCGATATGTTCCAGTGCAGGAGACGGGAGCTTGGAGGATAGTGTTCCCATTAACGTTCGTGGGTCTCAGAGGTTGTGTGATCCTTGTGACATTGGAGCATTCTCAGACGTGCTCTTCAGTCTTCGCCCTCTGCCAGTTGGTACTGAGTGCTGGTGAGCATCCTGCCCTCTTCTGGTGTTTTCAGGCAGGTCCCCTTGGAAAGGAGACCTAAATACAGAAAGGAGTTGTTTTCTACTCAAATCCTCTCACTCTCTGCCATACAGAGAGAGGTTTGTGCTGCTGGGCACTTGGTTACATCCATGGGTACCACTGGCAGATGGAGAAGCAGGTGTAGGGCGCCGTTTGTTATACCAAGAGCGGCCAAATCTGACTCACAGCCTTCTCTCTTGAAAAGAGGGATACAAAAATGGAGATTCTGTAATCCACAGAAGAATGTTTTTTCTCTTGACTTTTATTAAATTCATCTGGTTTCTGTCAAGCACAATAAATTACTACTATGTTTTCTGACCTTCAAAGTAGCACTAAAACCAGATGTTTTAATTAAAATCTGCTCTAAGCAAATGCAACTATCCTTTCTTCTTTGATCCTGTTCCCTGGCATTTAAGCCTAGAAGATTTTTTTAAAAAATCCTTGTTTCACTTGCGAGCCTATGTTTTTACATACCGCAATGTTTATCTCTGAACAAACTCCTAGTTTCTCGTTACTGTCACCAGTTTCTCCAGTTTTGAGTAATGTATGAGTTTTGAGGGATACTAACCTATTTGTCATATGTGCATTAATTTGCTAATAGTCATCTCTGTACTTGATTGAGTGTGAGTATATGAAAGCATATTGAAAGTGTATATATATGTGGATTTTGAGGATTTATTTTGAAAATAGCATATAACCAATATATAAGACTAATATTTTACAGCAACTATGACTGGAAACTAACTTATTTAAATAATATAGTAAACATCATTGAAAATCTAATATGTGTCACAACTGGGAGGGTTGGAGTGTTTTTGAGGTTAATTCAGCTGACCATTCCTAGCTCATTTGACTTAATGCTACATTTTTCAATTCCATTAGGATTAAAACAAGCAAGTATTACTTGTGGTGCTATCCGAGGCCTTCTGCCTAGCTACATTATCTCTCAAAGTTATCTAGTACATGTTGTGGCATGAATTTTGCCACATTTGAGTAAGATCCATGTTAAAATCAATAGATTATATTTTCAAATAAGTGGTGAGACTGAGAGATTTTTTTGTTCATGCCGCCACATTTAAAATCATGTTAAAATTTAAATCCATGTTAAAATCAATAGATTATATTTTCAAATAAGTGGTGAGACTGAGAGATTTTTTTGTTCATGCCCTTTCCTTCTTTTTCTTTTAAAGTCATTTCCAAAGCTTACTGTAGTCTATTACTAATTTATATCTCTTTGATTTCAAAATGCTTTCACTTTTCAGTGCTGCAGGCCTGCTTGCAACTGATTGCTGACAGCAAAAGTGATATTCAACAGAAAGGTAAGAATGTTCCACAATTTATAGCTAACTGTTCTATGTATTAACTCTTCCATCCAATTTTATCTGACCTCAAAGCAGTGAGTTATGTCACCAAATTAAAAAATCTGGGAAATCTTGTAACATCCTCTTTCCAATTAGGTAATTCAGCTAATGAGACTGGAAATCTTGACTAGAAGTCAGCTTTGTTAATTTTTGGTAGACAAAAATAAAGAAAGTAACTTTTCTTTCTGATTAGCCAAAAATTATTGTTTCTTTTAGATGATTCAAGCATTGTCCCTTGGCTTCTGAGCTTTAAACGTGGAACAGCTCTGGAAGAACAAGGAAATAAAATAGTGATCAAAGAAACAGGATATTTTTTCATATATGGCCAGGTGAGAAAGCTCAATTTGCTTCAGCATCTGACATCTTAAAGGATTTTTAATGTCTCCATACAATATGTCTGAACTCTGCACCTCTTCATTCTGTAGGTTTTATATACTGATACAACATTTGCTATGGGACACCTAATACAGAGGAAGAAGGCCCACGTGTTTGGTGATGATCTCAGCTTGGTGACATTGTTTCGTTGCATCCAAAATATGCCACAGTCTTATCCGAATAATTCTTGCTATACTGCTGGTAAACATCTAAGTTTTCCTTTTTTCTGGTTGCAGATAAACTGCATCAAATAGAATCTATAGTGCTGGCTGACTAAATGTTGTGGCAGTTCTAGAGGAAATGGAGTGCATTCATGGATCTGGTTAAATGCAAAATTACAGAATACTTTCAAAAATACAGTTTTATGTAACATATTGGCATTTGGAGGATATGCATCTAACTTAGGTGATATGAACAATTTCCCTCTCTCCGCTGACTGTATAATGTGGTTAAATACTTTGGTGCTTGCAGTCAGATGCCTGAAGCAGACTAAAGGAGCACATACTGTCTGTATTGAAGAACTCGGTTTAAGAGTTGATTACACACTTAATTATCTCAATAAAATATTTAGGAGCTATGTTCATCTTTAAAACATCGTGTATGGATTTTAGCCACCCAGTTTTTGCATAGCTTACAGTGGGATTTCCAAAGACAGTTCTCATCAGCTTAATTCTCAACTCCCTATAATGGCTACTGTAGTTATACTCTTTAGTTTGATGAAAAATAATCAATTCCTGTGAAGAGCAACAAGGAAGAGCAGTTAAAATATTTAATGCCAGTTCAGCAAAATGCTTAATATGTATGTATATTCCTGCCAAAGCATTTGATGAATTATTGGATTAATAACTGATTAACAACATGGTCTAGTGGGAGGTGTCCCTGCCTATGGTAGGAGGAGGGTATGATCTAGAGGAACTTTAAGGTCCCTTCCAACCCAAACCATTCTCTGATTCTGTCATTTTATGATTTTATGATTCGATGATTGTCAAGACCTATTAAATCTTGTTTGGTAGCTCTTATCTGTCTGTCTTTTCTCCTTAATGGTGGATTTGAGGGCTTTTTCTTCTGTTATTTTCTAGCAAGATCTGTGTGGATACAAACTACTACTGTTGGCAAGTAATGACATTAAACAAATGGGATGGAAGCTAATCTTTTTTTCCAAATAAAAATAAATTAGCTACTTCCTCCTGGCAACTGAGCCTGTCCAAACATTTTCTTTAACTTTCTGCTCCTCCATCCACAGATTCTGGCTTCATAACCACCTTCAATTTTATCTGTCCTCTCATTTCACCTTTGTATTATTCCTCTAGTTTCTTAACTCAGATGTCTACTCCATGCTGCTACTTCACGGTTCCTGCATTCCAAATTCTCACCATTTTTTCTTTCATCTGAAAATAAGAACAAATCTCATGGCAATATCTCATGCCATCGCTGCAGATGATGGGTGTGTTCTCGGCTCAGTGACTCCAACTTTGGGTTGCCGCATCCGCCGGCGCGCGACTGTCAGGAAGCAAATCTTTGTGCTCTGCAGTCGCAGTGGATCAGCTGATGTCTGGTAACTTCATTTGGTTGGTAAAGATCATGAAACCTCCTCAGTGTGGGAATGAAGTGGTTTAGAACAAGCAACACCCAACGCTGACCTTGTCTGTCACATCACCATAACATGAGGAACCTGGGTACACCACTGTTAGGAATTTTTGCAGCGTTTGCTTGAGTGAACTGTGATATGCTGAGTGCAGAGTGGTCCAGTGGTAGGTCCAGCTCCATAGAGGGTGTTAAGTGTCAGCTTTGATTAGTCTGCAGTTTGTAAGACTGTGCCTAAAGAGAAAAAAGTACCTGTTGTAAGTAACAAGCCACACTTATATTTCTAAGATTATGTGCATTAACTTTTTGAATACTGCTTATGAAAATAATGTACTTGAAATATTAACTTAAAAATATTCCAAATCTTTTGCCAGGCATTGCAAAATTAGAAGAAGGGGATGAGCTTCAACTTACAATACCACGGAGAAGGGCCAAAATATCCTTGGATGGAGATGGTACTTTTTTTGGTGCAGTTAGACTCCTCTGAAGTCCTTCATTTCTGTTATTATGCTTAATGTAGTTTTCTTCTTTTCCTATGCCTTTGTCAGAAAAAATATTGACTTGTAATAAAGCTGCCAGTTAGGTCTCTCCTCATCCACCACCAGCTTCTGAGAAGTTTTCTTCAGTTTAATAAGCAAACCCAAAACAGAAAACACAACAGACATACTTGTGAGATATAACCATCATGTGATTACGAGAAAGCCAATTTGTTTTAGACAATGGGAGACACTGAACAACAATTTTAAAGTGATGGGGTTTTGTCTTTGAAAGAATTTCTTGTCCACACAGCAAACTGCAGGAGTTGATCATAAAGAGGACCATTGACTATCAAATTATTATCCATAACTGAAAAGGAAAACTGAAACACAAGTACATACCATCTTAGGTTTGCTTTGTTTCATCAATAAAACATGTGAAGTATAAAGTATGGGGAAGAAACCTCAAACAGTAGATTCTTCATCACCAAATGTAGGTGCCAGGTGGGTTCTGTTTGGTTGGAGTTTTTCTGGTTTTTTGTTTCTTCAACATCAAAATTTTGGAGAGGAAAAGAAGTCTAAATGTATGGGATAATGAAAACAAACTCCTCAGAAAAATACAAAATAGTAGCCACTGGCTTGCTTCTTCCCTGTGAACAAAAAGTATAAAAATTACTAAAATCTGTTATTATTTACTAATTATAATTAATTTTACTGGAAAAAGGACATGTAAGATGCTGCAACAGCTCAGTCTTCATAGCATTGCTGCTCATCAAGGGCTATGTGTATTCTTCTATGTAAGCAAGGCAGAGGTAGAAATAAGCAGTGGGATTAGACACAATGCAGTAGGTGGAACTGGATTTCTGTTTTCATAATATCTGCATGCATACAGAGGTGTTATGTAAATATATACAGTACATATATGTATATATATATGAAAGTACATACACATATATATAAGCCTTTGAAATTTGGGCATAGGATTTTGTCATTTGAATAGTTTATCCAGTGGAAATATTACTGCATATATATTTTTTACATTTCTCTTGCTTTTTGCTATGATCCATTCTATGAAATATAGTAAAAATAAAAAATCCGATAAACCTCAAACCACTCATACAACTAAGAAAACACATTTGTGTCCCAGAAATCTGGGCTCAATCCCTACATTGATTGTAGGCTTCTTTTGCACTTTTGAATGGATTGCTCAACTCTGTTTTACTAAAAAAGAATCAGATCTGTAGAAATACTAGACAGACCTTTTTTGTTGTGCATTTTTTTGTCTGCCTTTTTCAGTGGATGAGATTTTTGTCTTTTTTATCCCCAAAATCCCCGTGTATTACATGGTAAAGGTAATAGCATGATAGTAATGTGGGCAAGACTTCTAGCAGCTATTGTAATACAAACGTTGAATATTTATTCGACTGACCTTCAAAGAAGTATTGAAGTGCGACTGGAACAGACAAAATAATAAAACCTACAGTAATGAACGGTACTTTATTGGAAATTTTTTAAGAGTTGAGAATTGTTTCAATTAAGTTCACGTAGTAAAGACAAGACACTTTGTATATTGCAGTCTCCTTGTCCATTTTCATAAACCACGCTGATCTGATTGAGTTCTCATGGTGGTGGACAATAAATAAAAGAGATTTGGAGCTAGGAGTTATGGACTATGGTAAAGTAATGAAACAATTGAACTTCTCTGGGTTTCAAGAAGATATTTACACTTCAGCAATAAGTGTATGTGTATTAGAGTACCATGCTGGGATTTTTATGAGGCTTAACTATAGTTTCAAAATGTCTGGAAGTTCGCTTTGTACAAATTTATGTGTTCTGGAGCTGAAGTTGCTGGTGCTGCTTCTTCTTCTTCTGTTGCTGTTGTTGTTATTATTATTATTATTACTATTACTTTTAAATTTGATGTGCTAAGCATTTTAAATCCTCTACAGGAACCTTTAGTTTAGCCAAAGGTTATGTGAAGCTGCATATAGATAAAACAACTATTAGCATGCCATGAGTTGTCAATTATTACAGACATACATTAAAGAGATGCCCAGAATCTCTAATCAGAAGCTTGTTGATTTTAGCATTGGTTGGAAAAAAAAAAAAAAGTAAAAAGTTAGTATTGCTTTCCCAGAGACTTGATGTCTAGACTTGTATATTTAACTTTTGGTGTGTAAGTTTCCCCAGTGGTTTCAGTGGGCTTGTGTGTGCTCAACTTAAGCCATTTCTGAAGGTGCTTGGCACCTCAGAAGGTGTACCTTTGACATAAACAAACACAGTGTAATATTTTAAACATACAACACAGAGCAAAAATTTTGCAAGGCTAAATCAATTGTCATGACTGCCCCTTTCTGTTGTATTTCTTCCTTGTGCTGCTGGTGAATTTGGATGACACAGCACTTTGGGAAATGTTTGGTGTACGTTGTGGCTTTGAGGAAGGTTTTCTCTTCTAAGCGAAAAGATCTCAAAAGTGTTCCTTTCCTGCAGTAGGATGAAACTGAACCTCATGTTTCTTCATAAAAAATGTGAACCATGAGAACTCCCACATGTCGACAGACAGTTCAGATACTTCTACTGACAAAGCTGGCGATTTGGTTGTTGGTGGGTTGGTTTTCTGCTGCTTCATGAAAAAATTTGTCTTCTCAGAATTAATCTGCTTCTGCACAAAGTTGAGTTTTAACAGATCAACATTTTCTCACTGAAGCAGGAGGAACAGGAGGAGAATACCTCGTTCCTGAGGGTTCCGCAATCGAACTGGTGATACATGAGATAACAAAATGCATCCAGACCACAACTTTGCTTATGATTCAGTTAGTGGGAGTTACTGAAACTCTCTGCATTTGATAGATGGTATTTAAATAAGTGTGACAGGGAATAAGTAGTATCTAGTTGCTTCATACCGTATTTTACATTCTTATCAAGACATCTAGCATTTAAGATCGGTTTCTGCAAATGCAACAAACTGTGAATACTCTGGTTCTTTTTCATGTAGTGTTAAGCAGCATCATGGCAAACATAAAGGACACGAGCATTTTCTTTCCAGTACATTTTGACAGAAAGTGTGAGCTTGTATCATTCTTTCTTTTTTAATAATCTGCAGCTGTTAGATATAAGGCTGCTTTGAAACATGTAATTTGGATCTTAAAAAAGAAAGTATGTCTGTTATATAATGTGCAGTCACACACCCTACTGACCTACACTCATTACACGGTTCTCCCACATCTGACTTTTTCTCAATTTGCTCAGCAATTACCATTGTGAGACCTTAATTTCAGTTGTCTCATAGTTTTGCTAAGCTTACACCACTGGAGTTGAGATTTTCCACATCTCTAGTTTATGCCTTAGGTTGAATCCTCTTGGATAACTTCAGCTCCCAAAGTTCTACTCTTCTAAAGATGAGGATAGGGAAAATGGCATTGTCTGGATTTTACTTTAGCGATTTGGCTACTTTTTCTTTGGAAAGTTCTAAAGTCTCTATGCCTTGAAAGAAGAAGTAAGTGTAATGTGTGTTTTTCTTTGATTTAATCAGCGTTTTCTTTCTTCCTTTCTTCTGCACTCATACTTTGACAAAGTGTATGCTTTTGAAGAGTATTTTATGCTTTCTTGTGGTAAGCATATTCTCTCTCTATTGAGTTTTCAAAAGGGAGAAGAAAATGTTCCCAGCAGTTTTTGTCTCTTAGCTGAGTCCACGGATTACCACCATCAGTAAGATCTAAGGTGTTTTTTTCAAAATCAGTCCAAGCAGCAGTGGTAGGGAAGTTAATGCAAATGCAGGGAAGAGGGAAGCTAAATTTTTGATGTAGAAAGCGTCTCATGGCATTTGTAGGTTACACAGAGCATAGGAATGGTGGGGGAAACGAACTAGATTTGAAGCTGGACTGCAGAAATTAGAGAGACTCTAACTAGGGTTTGATTGCTTGTAAGGTTGGTAGATATGCAAGCGTATGAAATGGGTTGGCTGTGAAAAGCCTGGGAGCTAAGTGAGGTTAGGCAAATACAGCAGCTTTGTGGAAAGGGGCCACGGGTTCCCGGGAGAAAGCGAGCCAAACACAAGTCCACAGTGAGCCCTGTCAGACATGAAGGCTAACAGAATACTGCTCTGTATCACCAGGAGCATCACCAGGGGTTATTCTCCTATCCTTGGCACTTTTCAGAGTGTATTTGGGATCCTGCATCCAAGTTTGGACATGCTACATCCCAGATACAAGACAATAAGAAACTTGAAGGAGTCCATTTGTAATGCAAGGGGATGGTCCAGCCTTCCAATACCAGTTAGGAGGTCACCAAGAAAATGGAATCATACCCTTTGGGAGGCCCACAGTCGTGTGAGAAGAGACAATAAGCATAAGTCAAACTGAGAAATTCATACTCAACACAGGAAAAAAATAATTACCATGGTGTCATGGTCCATTTGGGTGTCTCAGATTTACAGGTCAACTTGCTCTGTAAATTAAACTTCATTTTACGAGCTCATTAGAAAAGAAAACAATCCCCTTTGTACAGAAGTCACTAATTCATCACATAAATCATAAGTTTTCTAACAAGCTCTCTGTTTCATAACTCGTAACTTGTGCATCAAAACAGTTACCTAGCCAACAGGGGGGATGCTTATCCTTCCTCCTCAGTCACAGTGCAAGAGTGCCCTGTATCACACCAGGAAACATGAACACCTCAGCAGTCCTGCTGTTGTTGGACCCACTTCAAAACCTTTTTGGGTAAGCTGATATACCTTCCAGTTCAGAAGCTTGGTCTACAGCATCTCCATGAGTTGGCAGATTATGAAGAAACTACTAGACAAGAAATAGACAACGATGATGGCTGACGGAGACAGCCAACTGCCCGTGACTATATCTGCATAATAACCTCCAGTCCTCTCTGGCCACTGTGTCCTGCCTCAGTGTTGCCTTTGCTTTGATCTCATGGCTCTAATCACTATGTACATCAGGCCTTAGTATGAGCTGTGCGTTAGCCACAACCTGAGCAGGAATTGAGTAAAGAGTCACACCGTGGGGACAGTCAAACACTGAAGCAAATGGCTCAGAGAGGCTGTGAAAAACCTGTTCCTACAGATTTCCAACATGTTAATGGATAAAGCCCTGAGCAACATGGTCTGACTTCAGTGTTGATCCTGCTTTGAGCAGACTGCCAAATGATCCCTTTCCCCTGGCAGATTCTGTGGTAAGAAAGCAGGAGATGTGGCTAGCAGAGAGAGGATTGAGACTGGTGGGAACAGGTCAGAAAGGGTCCTGCTGGGCAAGGGCTGATGTTAATTTCCTGAGCGCGGACGAAACACAGGTTCCTCAGTGTGTGCTTTGACAGTATCAGCAAACATTTATGTAATGCACAGGGCAGGTTCCAGTTAAGCACAGCAAGCTGCTAGCAGTCATCAGGTACTGCACGGCCTGAAACTCGGGAGTGTAAA